AAAATGTGATGGAAACATTACAGCGAAATAGTGGCTTAAATATATAGTATCAATAAATAAATCAATGTTAAATAAACATTAAAATTTAAAGGTATAAAAAATATGTACATTACGTATATAAATAAATAAATAAATATAAATATATTCATATAAAATATACACTTATGTTTGAATTTTTATAGCTCATTTCATCTTTAGAAAGGCTGAAAACAGCTTTTGCAGTGATTTGATTTTTAATTTTTTGCAGTGAGTGCGAAGCATCAACAGCCTCATTGCGAGACTTTAACATACTGAAACCATATCTTAGGAATGATAGTGGAAGATTGGAGCACCATTCAGTGGACACAAGCCCATTCAGGTAATCAATGGCAGTTTGCAGAGCAGAAGGGCTCAGTATTTAGCGGGCTAAATTTATCAAATCCGAAGATGGATGAATTCGATTAAGGGAGGACAAGCTATTGGTGAAGGGGCGGGGTTTACGCAAATTTGCAGGAGTCCAGTTAAGAATAAGACCTAAGCTCGAGTTCAAAGAAGCCACGATAACGGAAGAGCCACAGAATAGATGAATTGGGGCGCTTGTGCCTCATAGCCTCAAGCCGCATTGTTGGTAGGGGTTTTACCTGCAAAATGTCGGCGGGATTTCGATCGTATATGAAGTAACGCCTAGCAAGTGAAAAAAGTAATAAGCAGAGAGGGTAGAGAAGGTGGTTGGAGATTCTTATTGGAGATTCTGTGGAGGAAGAAAATCTCATGTTAACGAGGCAATCATCAACGCAGCATACTTGCTGAACGCATGGGGTAAGAAGATGGGCGATGTAGATATTAAAGAGATTGTGGTCTAGAATTAAGTCCTGATGGACACCGTCGAAGATGGGGTAGTCACTAGAAATGGTTGCGCCAATTCTGACCATAAAGGATCTATTGGTGATAAACTGGTAGGTAATGCTAAATAGTTGGGTTGGGGCTTCACAGACAAGAAATTTGTGAACTAGGCATTCGGACCACATTGTGTCAAATGCCTTTTTGATGTCTAGGCTAATTGCACAGTGGATTACTTGTTGGCAAAACGAACACACATGTCATTCGGAAGGTAGTGCAATGCACCCACGGCATTGTTGAATAACTTCAGCTTGCTTTGTATGAAGGTTTCATACAGTTTGTTCACTGAGTTAAGGAGAGATATGGGACGACAAGATTTTGGGTCGGATTTGGGCTTTACACTTTTGTGGAGAGGGCGCACAGTTGCGTTTTTCAGAAGGAAGTATTACTTTATTTACGGTACTTATTTATAATATTTACATTTTATGTTTCAAGTATTTATATGTTCGAACTTGATATTCGAGTTATGAACGGCAGAAGCGTAGTCACCACAATACTCCACCTCTAGTGGAGCTAAAGTGCAAAACGAATTATTTTGCCGGATTGGCTTTGCTTTTCGAATTGTGTGCCTTTCAAGGCGCTGTAATGTAACTTAAATATGCATGCTGGTTTCAATCTATCTGTTGATAAAAACCTCTCCTTATCGTTAATTAATATTTGAAATATATATATGCACACTTATATAATCCCGGATGAATGAGTTCGGTTTGCTTCGAGTTGTGCGTGGTAATGGCTAGTTGTAAGTTGTTTACATTGTTTCTGAATTTTTGTATCTATTTTGTTGTAGAACGTATCTTAAATAAATCCCTAGGAATTTGTTTATAATTGACCGGTGTTGGCAATGATATGACCGTCAGACTTGAGAGTGTGTCTGGTATAATATTATTCTTTACTAGTGTATGCTGAATATCAGTGATGACTTAACTGTCTGGGTGACGTTTTCTGTGTTGTGAAATGTCAACCTTCTAAAAAATACAGGAAATGTTTAATTGAAGCATAAATAGAAAGCAATTCTATATCGTATGTACTGCACTGAATTTGTGCGCTTGTTAATTTTTTAGAGAAAACTTCTATTGGCTTTCACTCACCGTCAATTTGTTATTGAAGAACTGCTCCAAGTACGAAGTCTGAAGCTCCTACTGTTAATAAGGTAATCTCACTGTGTTTCGGATAGCAAAGAAGTGTTGAATTGGCTAATTATTGCTTACATGTGTTAAATGCTTCCCAAAGTTCCTCAGTCCACGCGATCAATGTTTTATCACCTCTTACATTACTTCTTTGTATGCTATTTAACATACTCAAAAATCTTTTTAACTGTTGTCGTGCCGTGACTCTAGCAGCTAGTGTTTGTAAACCTCTAGACTAAATATTCCAAAAATTCTAGTTCAGGTACACCAAAGGCACATTTTTTTAATTTGATGGTTAAATTAAATATACGTAAGCGCTGCAATAGTTTTTTCAAATGTTCAGTATGTTCTGTTAAATCACTTGATACAATAATAATAGAACATATGCAAAATCGAAACCTTGTATTACTTGATCCCTCAATCTTTGGAAAGTAGTGTAATGATCAATTTTTTTTGGTCTTTGTCAAAACAAAATTGATATTACAGTTTTTTCATATATAATACATATTTTTTTATATTCATTTTTATTCTGATAAATAAATAAAAAAAATATATATTAAACACTGGCAAGAAATCAAACAAAAAAAAAATAACAATGAGAGAAATAAAATGTTGACTGATGTTTACATTTTCGCTTTCGCCAAAGCTGAGAGTGCAGCTTAAAATCGCAAGGTGAGAAAAAAAAAGAGGGGAAAGTTGAGTTCGATGGCCAGAGCAGAAAAAACGGAGTCGAAATAAAAAAACAGTTTGGTTGCTTTGGAAGTCGCGTGGTTTTTTTGTTTTGAGGCAGTACGGTTGATACTCCTCGGCGGATGGTTAGTAAAAAGATAAAGGGAACAAAAAAAAAACGGCGGATTCTGAGTACAAATAGAAAGTGAACTACAAACGGCGGATTCATAATAAAAATATAAAGTAAACTAAAAACGGCGGATTCTTAGTGAACTACAAACGTAATAAACGAAAACATTCAAATAAAGGAATAAAATCAAGTGTATAGTTGGTGACTCCAAGCCCTGTATTGTGTTAATTTTTTTACACTGAGGAAGGGGTATTTTGAGCTGCATTTGGTAGATTCATTTCATCGATAAGAAACTGGTGGGCTTACAAAGGAAGCCAACCACATTTTAAAACTGTCAATTATTTTCGGGTGTTGCTGGCGATCAGCGGCAGATGTATGTAGCAGCAGCAAAGAATTCCACAGCATGTGTTTATATTATGCATATATATTATATCAATTGTCATTTTTTTTATACATAATTTTTTTGTTTATATTAGTAATTGAATTTTGTATGTATAAATACCTATATAAAGTATATTACAGGCATTGTATTATTTATGTTATTACTTAGTATTGTATTAGGTTTTTTTTTGAAATATGTCTAGTGTGTAATAATGAAGCATATACTATATAAACTGTATTATTTATTTTATTAGTTTTTCTTTTTGGGAATCTCCTGAATTGTTTATTCTTAGTTTAAATAGATAAATTTTATTTTTGTACTGAACCCTGGTATACGCTGAGTATATCCCGGCCGTGGAAAGGGCCGAAAAGGTCGTTACAGTAGGTGCTGCATTGCATAAACAGAATGCTATTTTTGTTAATTCAAAATTTCTAAATGGCATAGTGACTACAGATTTATTAATCTCTTCTCCAGCTACTGGAATGTGATGATACGCTTTAACAACATCCAGTTTGCTGAATATTTTCTTTCCTACAAGAAAAGATCCGACATCATGAATGTGTGGTACAACATATCTTTCTGGGATGGTCCTAGCATTAAGATTGCAATAATCTCCGCAAACCCTCCATTCGCCATATGATTTGTTGACAATAAAAATGGGACTGCACCAATTGCTGCTGGATGGACAACAAATCCCCAGTTTCATCATTTCATCGATGATAAACGACGAGGTTTGCAAAATATTGGTACACCAGCTGTTGTTTGAATGTGATGCTTTATATTGTATTTAGTTTTGGTATGAAAATTTAATTTAGTTAAGTTCAATTATTCTTGAACAACTGATTTTATTTCTGTTGAAGTAACAGAAATGTGGTTTTGAACACATGTTCCACTTCGTTCTGATTTAATTACAGGATCAATCAATTTGTTAATTATATTGTCAATTAAGAGACCAAATTGTGAGATAAAATTAGAACCAATAATAGGTTTTGTGACCTTGGCTACAATAAATTCCCATGCCAGTTGTCTTTTGAAACCAAAATTAATTATAAGTTTCTTCTTGCCATATGTTTTATTTGATTTGCTGCATACAAAGTTAAGGCATCAGATGTATTTACTTTTTCAGCTTTTGTAACCGGGTAAACTAATATATCTGTTCCTAAGTCAATGATAAACCTGATTTTTGTATTTTTTTTATCACAAATAAACAAGCGACCAATTTCTGTGCAATGCTCACATGTCACCAAAAATGAGGAGGCCATTAGTTTTTTGGTTGTTTATTGTTCGCAAATGTGCTTGGTTGAACACATTTTTTGCACTTTAAAAATTTAAAATGGAACCAACACAGTGGTTTGTTTTTGCTTAGTGATCGAAAATGTTTGTTAGATTTTCTTGACCGATCGGCAATTATTGCAGTTATGAAAATTACTTATTTTATTTTGTTTTGCTAGTCGTTAAAACGATTGTTTTGCGGGATCATCAATTGTAGTTGTGTTTTCCCTCCAGACGGAAGAGTTATTTTATTTCCGGTACTTATTTACGATATTTACGTTTTATATTTCAAATGTTCATATGTCCGATCGATATGTTCGATGTAGAAGGTTAGATGCGTAGCCACCATACACAGCTGCCTGAATATGAAAGATCTTTCAAACGATCAAAATTGCTCAGATAGTACAATTTGTTATATTACATAAAAATTAGTCTGCAATTATTGTAAAGAAATGTGATATTTGTATTAAAAATTTTAACAATAAATTGTAGTAGGATTTATGAAATTATATTCTTATTTTGATTGAAATATGAATTACAGGCGAATATTTAAACGAACGTCCATGCGGGTCAGGGTTTAAGTGCCCATCCGCATTTAGCTGTTATGACGAATGGGTGGGGCCTAATCATGGAATAACAAATTTCGACAATTTTGGTTTAGCGATGCTAACTGTATTTCAGTGTGTTACACTTGAGGGATGGACTGATGTATTATATAGTGTAAGTATTTCATTTATGCTGTGCATGAAGAAAACTCATATTAAAAATCAAAGGAATTGTCGTTATTGTTGAGTAATAATTTATAAACTTTTTTAGATTCAAGATGCTATGGGTAGCACGTGGCAGTGGATTTACTTCATTTCAATGGTAATATTAGGAGCATTTTTTGTAATGAATTTAATTTTGGGTGTGCTATCAGGCGAGTTTTCAAAAGAGAGAACTAAAGCCAAAAACAGAGGCGATTTTCAAAAATTAAGAGAAAAACAGCAAATTGAAGAAGATTTAAGAGGATATTTAGATTGGATAACACAGGCGGAAGATATTGAAATTGACGGTGATGCAACTGTTATACAGGATCGAAAAATTAAAACTTCAATCGAAATAACATCATCGGTACATATAGAAAATATTGGACAAGAAATTTCAATTGGTGAATCATGGTGGAAAAAAAAAAAGAAAGTTGCTGATCGCATCAATCGAAGAATGCGAAGATCTTGTCGAAAAGCAGTAAAGTCACAGGCTTTTTATTGGCTAATTATAATTCTAGTTTTTTTAAATACGGGAGTTTTAGCTACTGAGCATTATATGCAACCTCATTGGCTAGATAAATTTCAAGGTAAGTTTTGTCTAATAATATTGTATGCATCTAATTACAATAAAATATTTTGTTTTAGAATATACCAACATATTTTTTATTGCACTCTTTACATGTGAAATGATGTTAAAAATGTACAGCTTGGGTTTTCAGGGATATTTCGTTTCGCTCTTCAATAGATTCGATTGTTTTGTAGTAATTGGAAGCATAATGGAAATGGTTCTTACCAACACGCATATCATGCCTCCACTAGGAGTATCTGTTCTGCGCTGCGTTCGATTATTACGCGTATTTAAAGTCACAAAGTAAGTTTTTCATAATTATTGCATCTGTAAATTTAAGATATTTTATACAAAATTTGAATTATTTGGTGAATTCACATTGAAAAATTTGAATACATTAAAATTAGCAGATAATAAGTTTGTATACTTTCTATACTGTGAAATATTATATATAAATATCTAGTTATTTTATTTTAATTCAAGCTTAACTTCAAATTCAAGCATATGTTATATTTTTGTTTTTCATAATACACGTGCTTTTCTTATAATATTTGTAATAATTATTTTAATAAATAATTATTTTAAAAAATCGAACTGATGCACAGTTCTACAGTTCTGATTTAACGTTGTTGCATTTGAAAACCATGTCTTGGAGGTGTCCGCAGGAGATTGAAAAAAATGCAGTGGCAAATGATTCATTGCTGTGAACGCATTCAAAAGTGTGTTAATCATAATGGACAATACTTCAAGAAACAATAAAGCGTGGCTCAAAATATAAATAGTGACCGTCGTTTATAAATATATATTATATTACTATTATTAGCATTTTTATTACAATATAAAATTGTATAAACTTAGCCTAGTCAAATAAATTTTTAAAGTTAAAATGAAGTTTTTCCAATTTTGTCGATCTCTTGCAATGCGTCTTAGTTTATTTATTGACTTATTTGTTTCGCGTTATATGATTTTGCTTCAAGTATTGCGTGGTCTACTTGCGACTTCTGCCTTGAGGGTTCGAGGTGTATAGAAACAGGAATGATATCTGTTAGTTTTATAAAAAATTCTACCATCTAAATCAAGACTCTAGCCAGGACCACAAGTTTATAAGAATGATTATAGATATCTGATTATAGAGTATAGGTATCTGATTATAGATATACAAGCATTTTAAAAATATAGAAAAAACTATTCCACGCTATTATTTGACGATGACAACGTAATTCCGCCTTCGGAGAAATGCTGTCGGAGTCCCTAATCCTTCGCTTAGTCACAACGAAGTTTGTATTGCTATATAGTGATTAGAAAACAACAAGGGGATCAACTCAGATCAAATGAAAGTATGCCTAACGATTGAAATCTTAATTCCTTCTGTTGGGTGTTGAAATAAAGCGACCCGACGATTTTTGCCAACTATCGCGGGATCAGCCAGCCTAATATCTGTGTTGAAAGAGCACTGAAACTGGAGGAGATGAGAAGAGCGGCGTCAGACAGAAACCCGGAAACAGATTTTGGCAATTTAAGTAAATAAAACTTTGGTTTGTTTTATCATTAAAATTGCTAGTTTTAATGTGCTTCACAATCGCTCGATATCGACAATGCCTACATGAATATTAGGTGTAATTCCATTCCTTTAGTTCTAAAAAGATCTTTTTTATTTGAACTTACTATCTGTGGTTTTTTCTCACCATTCGGTTGTGTGTTTCCGAAAGTAAAATATGAATAGTGCAATGTACTTTCACCTAGCTTCTACTCAACATATCGATCGATAACCCTTCTCGTGGTGGGACTATTACCAATGATTATCGACGCGAGCTGAGTTATAAGCTCTTCAACCGAAAATGCGAAAACCGAAGGTGTATCAGTTTCTCTGTAAATAACTTGCATAACGGCGTGGTTTTCGCCATATTAAAATAATCTATTTAAATGATTTTAGACTAGGTGGCAGCCCTATCAATAGGCTAGGGCGCAATAACCTGTTATAACTGAAAACTTTTTATCCCCAGAATGTTTACAAAGAGAATAAGTCGACCAGTACAACTATTGACGAAACCTCGCAATACTGAAATAAGGCGATTTGGAACACAGAACGTTAAAATGAAAGTAATGTAACATATATCAATACGGCGTTGGTATTTTAGTCATAGACTGTAAATATTAGGTGTACCGGTATGAAATGAGGGTTTTTTGGTGAAAATAAAACACTAATTATTAATAGGAAAGTAAAAAACATTTTATTCAAAGTATTGGCCATTGCTTTCTACACATTTTGACCACCTTTCTGGCAATTTGTGGGTACCACGCCAAAAAAATTGTTCGTCTTTTAAAGCAAACCAACCAGACACCCAATTTTCGATCTCCTCGTAGGAATCAAAGTGCTGCTCAGCCAATGCGTGTCCGATCGATGAAAACAAATGGTAGTCGGAAGGAGCTAAGTCTGGTGAATACGGCGGGTGGGGCAGCAGCTCCCAGCCAAGTATTTTGATTGCATCGTGAATCCGTTTTGCTTTGTGTGCAGGTGCATTGTCATGGAGCAGAATTACCTTGCCGTGTCTTCTGGCCCATTCTGATCGTTTCTCGATCAATGCATGGTTCAAATTTATCATTTGTTGTTCATAGCGACTAGCATTGACGGTTTCACCAGGTTTTAGGAGCTCGTGGTACACCACACCTTTTTGGTCCCACCAAACACACAGCATTGTCTTCTTGCCGAATCGATCTGGTTTTGCAGTCGATGTTGATGGTTCTCCCGGATTAACCCATGATTTTTTCAGTCAAGGATTCTTAAAATAAATCCATTTTTCATCGGCAGTAACAATCCGATGCAAAACCGATTTTCTTTCGTGTCTTTGAAGCAAAATTTCACAAGTGTTTTTTCGGTTTTCCGTCTGTCTTTCATTCAATTCATGTGGCACCCATTTTCCACACTTTTGGATCTTTCCCATAGCTTTTAAACGGTCAGAAATTGTTTGTTGTGCAACATTTAACATTTCTGCCATTTGCTTTTGACCCAAAGTGTCATCTCCATCCAATATCGTTTGCAATTCGGCGTCTTCAACTTTTTTGGCGGTCTCCACGTTCTTCATTTCTCACATCAAAATCAACTGTTGAAACCATCTTTTGCATGTTGCTTCTGATAGAGGATGATCACCATATGGCTCGACAAGCATTCGATGCGACTCTGCACCACTTTTCTTCTAATGAAAACAAAAAATTAATGCTTTCCGCAAATCATCACTTTCTGGTACAAAATTCGATATTTTTAACACGATGAAAAAATATGATGTTGTCTGTTCAATGACTTGATGTGTACTAAGTAATTTCACACATGTCATAGCAAACAAACAAAAAAAATAAAGGCTCGTTCACAACAAATGTTCCCTGTCAGAACATTTGTATCTTTACGCTCACTTCATACCGGTACACCTAGTAAGTAAATATCAATTTTTTCAAAATTTGGCACAAAATAATATTTTCTATTTCACACAAAAAACTAAAAAATAAAATATTAACATTACAATATTATTAAAAATATCAAAAATTATGAAAACATTATTTTAAATATTATAAAATATTATAAATTAAAAATTAAAAATTAAAATTAAAATTAAAATTAAAATTAAAAATTAAAAATTAAAAATTAAAAATTAAAATTAAAAATTAAAAAGTAAAAGTCTTATCAGTCCACACTAACGTCCGTACAGAATGGATTTGAAACCTACGAACTCCTTTTCGGGAGCTAAAAATCTCAGTCCTTTAACAGTTCCCACTGACGCGTTTCGTCTGGGAACTACCCAGACTCATCAGAGTGGATTGAAAAAATACGTTCGTAGTCATGTATCAAGTATATGAGATTCTGTCCACTTATCATTATAAAATTCAAATATTACTTACATTTATGCTAATTCTTTACATTTTTTTACACTTATTAACTAAACAATATATTTATATATATATAAATAAGTAACTAAGTAAGTAAGTAACTTTTAGAAGTCTGTGACACTAACGAACTAAAAATTGATGAGACATTGTTGTCACAAAAACGTAAGCACAAAATTACATGGACTGTTTCTGAAAATCAGATAGATCACGTATGTGTCAGTGCGAAATGGAGTAGTTGTCTTTCTGATGTGCGTGACAAGTGAGATGCAGATATAGTTCAGACCACCACCTTGTGGTAGCAAATATCTACACACGAGTTCATTATCCGAAGAAGCACCACGTAACAAAATGTGTGCTGTAATCTGAAAAAAATTAACACCCAGGTCAACGACAAGCTTTCATCAATACGCTACAGAGTAAAGTTTATAATCCTGCGGTATTATAGGTATTATGGTATTATCGACTGGTTACTAACCTTTTCTTTGTCAACTCCCTAAATTAAAGTAATTTTAAAAGTCAATGAACTGCACTGACCGTTTAAGTAAAGTATGTTTTAAGAAACAAGAAGTGAAACAAACAAATGAGAAGTGAATGAATTGCATTTAATAATTAATAAGTGAAATATTATTAAGAAACTGAATAGAAGGTGAGAGAAGGAGCGGTGAAGAAAATAATATTTCTAGAATCAAGGTAGCATGGAGTACCAGATAGGATCCAATAACTACAGTACTGTCAACATAACACTTTGTAACAATTATGAAGTTAGACACAAGATTTATCAATATAATTTTTAACTTTATTGGCAAAGCCAATCGGATTCACAAGCAGTTAAAACATCACTGTCCTATCTTAAGAAATACGTTACATCCACAACAACCACAACAATATACAACAAAATATACAAAATAAAAAGAAATTACAAACAGGCGTACAACGACGTGATATAACAACAAACAATGGATCGAGTTAGTGTAAAAAGTGGTTGAATGATTGAAGTAAAATAAACTATGTGTTTGAAATAAGTTTAAAATGAGTGAGCATAATTTCAAAAAATTGTATTGGATTTATTTGGAAATTATTTGGTTATGGTTTCAAAGAAAAGAAGAAGGTAAAAAAGAACTTTTAAAACTTCTCTATTTAATTGTAACTTACTACCAGTTAACCCACTAGAGTGATAACCAACAAGATAAATATTTTTACGCAAATTTAAAGAAGACATCTCGGTAACACTTTTTAATGTGATCACTTTGAATTATTTACCAGTAAAGAGTTTTAGCTATTGAGAATTCAAAAAGTAAAACGATAAAATACCGTTATCGTACTCCAATGAATAACACAGAAACACATTTATGTATACAACTATCCTAATGTTAGAATTTTTTGTAGCAAATTTAGTAAACAACATACTGTTATGCGGGCAAATG